GTACATTATGTAATAGTAATCGAAATAACACAACATAACACAATCAACATAATATATTTTGAAATACTACATAACAATAACCATCCAAACAAAGTGTAAAAGATTTTTTCTTTGGTTTCTCATGCATTATCTGATATTCACATTTATTCAAATTCGCGCCAAATAAACACCATTTGAGAGTTACACTCTCTATCAAAGATTTTCTATTCCCACAAGTCTAAAACCAAAATCTCTAACTGAGAAAGAAACAATCTCATGCAATAGCTGGTATTCGCATTAATTTGAATTCGTGCACCAAATAAACACCATTTAGAAGCAACACTCTCCTTCAAAGATTTTTCATTCCCAAAATTCTAAAATCAAAACCTCTAACTAAGAAACAAACAAACAATCGGATCTACTCACCACATTCTTTGACAATAAACGTTTAAGATTGAAAAAAATGTAAAAGAAATTTCTTTTGATTTCTCATACAATTTCAATGTTCGATATTTACATTGATTCAAACTTCGCGCCAAATAGATACTATTTGAAAGCAACACTCTCAATCAAAGATTTTCTAATATGAGAATTCTCAAACCAAAACCTCTTACTAAGGAAAATACAATCTACCCAAATTCATAAACTTACTAGTCAAAAGCTTAATTAAATATTAAAAAAATTAAAATACTACTACTATAATTATTATTAACAAGAATAAAAATAACAAAAATGAATTAATTTAAAGCTACTCTTTTTCTTTTTTTTTTACTTTTTTCCTTTTCCCATAAAGCATCTCTCTTTTTCTTTTTCCCTTTCTCTTTCTCTCTCTCTCTCTCTCCCCCACCGTTTTTTCACTTTCACTTTCACACACACAATTTGGCTTTATTTGTGCTTTCTTTGTCTTTTGATTAACAAAAAAATAATTATTCTCTCTCTGTCTCTTCCTGTAGGGAGAAGGAAAAAAATAGTATCAGTACTACGTCTACTACTAGTAGTAGCATCAGCAGTACATACACTCTTCTCCATTTTTTTTTCAATTTTTATAGACCAAATTGTTGAATTTGTCTGCATCTGTTGAATGAGCAAAAGGATTTTGTTGTTTGTGTGTATAACAACCATTTTTGAGTACTTTTGAGTTTTGAGTGTGTATATATTGTGTTAAGTGTGTTTTTAGTGTGGAGATGAAAGAGTAAGTGCTGAAAAGGAGAAAGAAAAAAGATTTGTTGTGTTTAAGCAGTGGTGAAAACTACTGAAGTGAAGTGGAAAAAGGAGTTTGATTAGCTGAAGTATTGTTCAAATTGGTGATAGTAGAAATGGGGTCGGAGCAGAATAGATTTCCGCAGCAGCAAGGACCGCCACTTCCTTCTCGGGTACTGTGCATTTCATTTTTCAGATCTACTTGCTTACTGTGTAATTTTGTATGTGTTTTGTTTGTGTGGATGAGAATTTGTGCAATCTGTTATGGGTTTACTTTTTGTAATGCTTTAGTAATGATTAAATTGTGTGGTGGAATCACATTTGCGAACAGATCTGAGGTTTTGGTGAAATGGGGTTGTGGAGTTTATATGAAGGAATAACTTTAATCTACTAAATAGTGGTTGTTCGGAGTGATGAATCTAGTTTCCTAATTGATACTATTAGATAATGTTGTTATTTTCAACTTCAATTTATGCCGCCAAGGGTGTCGTTTAGTGGTTGATGAAGTGGGTTGAGAATCGTGAGATCTCGTGTTCAAATCCCACTAGAGATTAAAACAAACATTAGGTGATTTCTTACCATTTTTTCCTAGCTTTTGTGTATAGAGTTACGTGGTCCCTAGCGCTAGTGGGAGGTGATAAGTATCCCGTGGAATTAGTTGAGGCGCGAAAGTTGGGACACAATGGTCATAAAAAAAAATGATAATGTAGTTAATCTCACTCGTAAGAAAATATAGGAATTTATTTAATGCAGTAATTTTGAGTGCCGCGGGGATGATGATCTTATTGGGGCCAAAATTAAGTTTTCGTTTTGTTTATTTTGAGAAAGGAAGCTGTCATGTTTCACTAGCTAACCTGATGGATGTTGAGTTTGGCTCCACTATGTGTGGACCATGGTATCTTTTAGATGTGTGAAAATGCAGCTGATACATGATTCTTATGGGTTGGTGATAGAGACACTAAATAAGCTTTTCATTGTTGACTTAGATACTGTAAGGGAATATGAAAAAAATTACTTTTGACTATTAATGATTTCGCACTTGGTCTTACTTCTGTATATTATGATTTTACTTTCTTGTTATCGGATTTCACGTGTGAACCACTTAGGCAAAGAGGCAGATCAACGAATTTTGATTTCTGGGTTCTGAATTACGATCCTTTTTGCTTACTGGTTTTTGGATAGCATAGTGAATATATTTTTAAATATAAATAAAGTGCTCGAGTGTAAGTTAATGGGTTTTGCTGAACTCGTAGCTCTAAGGATGACTCCTCCCCTGCTTAGATAGGCAAATGCCTACATGAATGCACCTTTTATCCAGCATCTTCCCGTTTTTTCTGTTTTTATCTTAAGAGTACACCCCAACAGCTAATGCTCTATTCTTTGACAGCATAAACGATGGGGAGGATGTTTGGGAGGATTGTCTTGTTTTGGAAGACAAAAAGGTGGAAAGCGTATAGTGCCTTCATCTCGTATTCCTGAGGCCAATTCAATGCCAAATCAGCAGAATGTTCCCCAAGCTGGTGGGCTGAATAATCAGACGGCAGCTCTTTTAGCTCCACCATCTTCACCCGCGTCCTTTTCGAATTCAGCACTCCCTTCAACAGCTCAATCACCAAGCTGTTTTTTATCTAGCAATTCACCAGGAGGTCCTTCATCTGCTATGTTCGCCACTGGTCCATATGCTCATGAGACCCAGTTGGTATCTCCTCCCGTGTTCTCAAACTTCACCACTGAGCCATCTACTGCTCCTTTCACACCTCCGCCTGAGTTGGCTCACTTAACTACTCCCTCTTCACCAGATGTGCCTTTTGCTCGGTTCCTCTCCTCTTCTGTGAAAGTTAAAACCAGCACTGGTGCCAATGATTTTCAAACAACATACGCTCTTTATCCAGGAAGTCCTGCTAGTACTCTCAGATCCCCTGTTTCGAGGGGACCAGGTGAGAGGGAACTTCCTCAATTGGATCCTTCTATCCCTTCATCCGAGATCAAGTATCCAGGCCCTGATTCAAGCACCTCCAAGTTGACTCAAGATTCAAATTTCTTCTGTCCAGCTACATTTGCCCAATATTACATTGACCACTCTTTATTTCCTCATTCTGGTGGAAGGCTGAGCGTTTCCAAAGAAACCGATGCTTATTCAACTAATAATGGGAATGGCCAGCAGAGTTGGCAGAACAAACCATCTAAACAAGATGCAGAGGAAGTAGAAGCGTATAGAGCATCCTTTGGGTTCAGTGCTGATGAGATTGTTAGTTCGACACAATATGTGGAAATTTCTGATGTCGCATTAGATGAATCCTTTAGCATGACCCCTTTTACTAAGCCCAGAGAAGAGGAAATCATATTAACTATGTCAACAGCTGAGGGAACAAAAGGAGGGAATATCTCTAATATGGCATCTCCTCTGCAGTGCAAACCAGGGATGCATCATTTTGAAGGAGCAAACAATTGCATGAAAGGTGCATAATTTTTTACTCTCTGCTAGTATTGAATAGTAACAGTTGGTATGAAGTTTCAGTCGAATGGATTTTCTTTCTTCTCTCTAGCCTTTGCCATGAGATGTTCCTAAATTCATGTTTCTTCTGTCGTTGGATTTTATCTCATGCTAGTATTTGTAATTTTCTACTTAGCAGCTTCCAATTCAGTTTAATATTATTCATGGAACACGACTAAGTAATTGTTAAAAGCTCCACCGAAACAGTTCTATATTATCTAGATATTGTTCAGGACTTAAAAACTGATTGCTTCTGTCTTCTACATCCACAGATCATACGTCTCCAAAGCAAATTGAACCTGCCAACCATGCCATGAGTGATGATGAAGGTATCTTCTCCAAATTGGGAACTCTAAGATTAAGTCGGAAACATGACCATGGTTTGGCAAGCTCCGATGCAGAGATAGACTACAGGAGAGGAAGAAGTTTGAGAGAAGCAAAAGGCAATATTGCATGGTAGCACTAATATTTAGAATATTATATAGTCTCCTATTGGCTGAATTGCATGGTTCTCTTCTTTTGCTTTTGTTGGGGGTCTTCTTCTTTCGCAGGTGATCTAACCTCACTCACGAAAACCCCCTACTGCGTCCTCGTTTATTCTGCTGTTTTATTCAAGAATGTATCGTCTGTATATCTTATGGTTCCCTCGAGTTATGTATGTCAAAAGTCGTAGCAATATACTTTCAGCCATTAATGTTATTAGGAGTGGGAATGGATGCTGGAACTTTTTCTACTGTGGATTGTGTATGCTTGTGTCGGAATGTCTTAGGCTTGAAGTCTTTGAAAATGTATCTTATTGAATATGCATTTCAACCAGATATATTGCTTTTAATGACAATGCTTTTGATTATTTGGCTCATAGACATCATTCCTTGGATGACAAATCTCAATTCTTTCACATCACAATTCTAAGATGTGCTTAATATGAACTTTTCTGGTTTTTATGTTTCTACTGTAACAATATACTAGAATGATACCACATGGGTAGGGTCGGGAGAAATATTCTCGAAAAACGTTTTCCTCATAAAGTTAAGGAACTTGTGTTTTTCTGGAAAAAATGTTTTCCACAAGTTTTGACCAACTGAACGCAGGAAAATTGAAAAATATTTTTTGGGAAATATTCTCATCAGTATGAAACACACCCTCAATCTTGACTGCATATCTTTGATCAATGTTTTCAGCTAGCGCAACAGGGAAGAGAAAGAATACATGTTTAGCTTCTTCATTACATGAAAATGAAAACACATATGGTGCTAACCTGCTCCATAATAAGTAGTAAAGATGCAACGCTGGAACGATAACTTCCACATACAAATCAACATCTATGAAGCTCGTTGGTCATAATGAAAATGGGACACAGAAACTACAGAGTAGGTTTATAACAGAAATGGCCAAGAGGCTTTCATCACACACATCATTAGACTGAAATGGACTAGAAAAACATCGCAACCAGAGAAAGTGTAGTAGTATTACATGTGAGCATTTCAGTAAGATAGGCGTTGGTAGCTCATTGTACTTCTTTAACATTTCACTTTAGTGGCTCACATTCCATTAAGGGTGATCACAATTCTGCGTGGGGTGGCAGAATCACGGTGCTCACACAACCATATGCCCTGAGATTCAGAAAACATTAGTTGCTCATCATACCTGTAAGTCTTATATTCAGGAATCAATAAATGGACATGTAATGGTTTTGTCTCGATAGAAAAGAACAATTGACACTTGGTAAGAACTGTCTCCGTGGAAATCTTACTATCCTTGTGATGGTTTGGATCTCTACTATCCAAAAAGGAACCTTGCTATAATTACAAGTTCAAACCATGGGAAGAATTGGTTGTGTAAAAAAGAGATTGAAGGATAGATTTGACCAACTTGGTAATGACAATAGATGTAACAACTTTAACTGTCTGCTTTTTTAATCCAACATGAAGGTGAAAGTGTTTGAATTCATTGTTCTAGGCTTCTAGCCATGCTCAAATCAAATGACCTAAAAAGAGGTAGCACAAGTACCTGCCAGGTTCCCATGTTTAGCTTTCCGTCTGTGATCGGTATCCTGAAAATCCAAGACGTGGTAAATATCAGTGTATGGAGAAGGCGTGAAAAACTATATGGATTAAATCAAAGGAGATATTCAGACGTGAGGTTGCAGCCAAACATCGATGACTTAATATGAGCGGGCATGTCATCTGGCCCTGTCAAAATTGCAACATACTAACATCAAAATAACAACCAATAAAATTGAGAAAGACAAGTTAACCAAGGAGGAAAAAAAAAGACACAAAGAACTTAATATAAATTCAGTCAGGAAGATCGAGGGTGATGCAATAGATTATTAAATAGATATAGATAAACTAAGTGGCAGTATTATCAGTAGGTATGACATAATCTGAGGGATGGAAGTCAGAATCGTCAACAAAGAATAAATAGATAATTTTGCTAAACATTTAAACAGACTGCAAGGTCTCCAAAAACAACTCAAATGCAGTAAAAGAGCAAAATTCTTTTATCATGTTAAGATATAGTCAGTTTTTCAGTCTTCATTATTTTACTGTGATTAATTCTGAAAAATTAATGTACAAGGAGGATGAAGGATCTAGCTATGCATTTGCTGATCACATGAAGACGCAGACCTGGATGCTGAAGTACGCAACGACTGAGCTAGAATATAAGATTGAAGTAGTTGAAGCTTGAATCTAACCTAGATCTGTCTCTCTCTCTCTTATCTCATTTTTCTTCTCTTAGCTAATCTATCTACTCGTGTTTTGGTACAGATATTCTCCTCTTGTAATTTCTTGACTCTCATCCCATTGCATCGTAGGTTTTCTTGTATTGAGAACAAGTCTGTAGACGTACATCTCACTGAAAGGTGTTACAGGGGATCATGGCGACGTCAGCCTGAGGACTACTATGGATCTCATGTATTTTGATTCCATACCATCTATTTGTAAGATATAAGTTATTGTCTCCATTATGAAGATGCATTGGATGAAATATTTTGAGTTTGTCGCTGTTCTGAAATAGGAAATTTTAGGTTTTGACTAAAGATTACTTGATTTTCCAGTAATTTGTGGAGTATCATATTGAAAATGTGGTTTCTTGAGTTGGGAAATCGACTTTCAAGCATCTCAGGCCCGAGCACAAGCTCTTTAGTCATAATAGAGAGTCAAGCTCAGCCACAAGATTTTGAGTTTCCCCAAGCTCAGGCAAAAATTGATAGGTGTTTGGCTCAGATAGTTTTCATCCCACACTTACAGCAGCCCATTAAATAGCCACCCCTGGAATAAAATCCAGTCAATTACCTGACGAACCAAAAAAGAAAAGAAACAGCACTACAGAGGACAGGGATTACGTTACACACTTACCCTCAAGAGTATGTTTCCACGGTGCAGAAGTCCCCTGAAATTGTCATTTTGAAACAAAATGAGACTCTCCACAACAATGAGTGACTATTACTCAACTTGGCAGAATATAATCTTACCTCTGGGACAACCCTACTAAGAAATGTCTCTGTATCATCTCGAACATCTGAGTCGTAATTTTCATTTATAGTTAAAGAAGCACTTGTATGCTGCACTGGTTAAACACATAGCTAACCATACTCAGTCATAGTAGAATTCTGGTGCAAATACATTTGCCAATTAAGAGACATCCAGAAGAATTTCAAGTGAAAAATGTCAGAATAAGATTACTTACGAAAAAGATGAGCAAGGCCACATTTGAAGCCTGCTATCTCTTGATTAATTTCCTTCATAATCTGATGAGGAGATTAAGATGGTATCAATTAGAAGCAGAATATAATCTTTTTGCTGAAGTGGGAGGGGGATAGAACACAAAAAATTGGGCTAGAGAAAGAGAAACTCACTCTTTTGCGAGTCTTTGTTTGAAAATAGAAACATGTTGTTCCATTAGCGAGGTACATAATGCTTAAGTTTAGATAATGTTATCGTAAGAACATTTTTCTTGTTTATTGTCTGGATCAATATATTAATAGCACTAGTCTAGCAACTGAAAAATTAAAACCTGTGAGGCAGCTAGAAATACTAAAGCTAAAAACTGCCCAAATAACTGTATATGAAGTTAGGTTATCACCTTTGAAACCTGATCAAAAGATGTTTCATAAGCCAGAAGAGTAAGAATGGAATTCGAATACATCCAACTTTTGTAAGTAAACATGTCAGTTTAGTTTGTGAGCCAACTAATAGGCCACTCAGTGATAACATTTTCACAGTTTCAATAGTCACGTTTATTCTTGTAAGGGCCAAAATAAATCTGTCCATGTTGATTATGCCTACTGACATGATATATATTTCCAACTCCCCTCCACCCACCCTACTAACCACTAGAAAGTTTTGCTGAACTGATACATTCAATTCAGTTTTGATTCTCTATGCACAAAATAACATAGGATAGTTTGGTTCTTGGTCATTTTTGTAATGTATTATTTTCAAAAAGTTAAGCAATATCTTGGAAACCTCTATTTGAGAATTCTAGTTTTGTTGTTGATATCAGTTCAGGTTAATCTTAGAACAACAAATGGATGATTGATAGATTCAATTAGTTTAATAGAATCATAATGATTTTCATCTTTGTTACCTAAACCTCAACTGGAACCTAGTTCCATAAAGTTAATCAAGCAAATATAGACACAATTATGTTTTGAAATTTCAATTTGATATAACAGGATTAGCATACCAATAGTGTAGCCTAACGGTCAATTAAGTGGATGCAAACCTTGGAGTCCTATTTCAAATCATGAGACATAAAGGAGCTAGGTGATTTCTTTCCATCTGCTTAAGTCTTGGTAGGTATAGTTACCTTACCCGTACTAGTGGGATAATAGGATTAACATAGATACGCCAAAATGGGTGAACCACTACCATCAGTTTCTTCGGAAAAGAAAGAATTAATACAAAATCAAAAAGTTGCTATCAACCAGGCAGAGCTCATTAAAACATGGAACCCATAGGTTTAACAATATCACAATTCACTCTGTAAAAGTCCATTAACGAATAATCGCTCAAAAGCTTAATCATCGGCAGCTCAGTAATGCATCCCAATTATATCTAATATATATTTGCAAGTAATCAAAAGCAAACAAAACAATAAAAAGGGAATCATAATAGCTCAGTTAGGCGACTACTTGAACTTTCAACTTGTTGAAGATACTTGGTTCACTTAATTGTCAGGGAGCAAATTAATACACAAGAAACGAATAATCGCTCAAAAGCTTAATCATCCGCAGCTCATAAACACATCCAAGTTATATCTAAACATTTGCAAGTAATCGAAAGCAAACAAAACAATAAAAAGGGAATCTTAATAGCTCAGACTGCCCAGTTAGGCAACTACTTGAACTTTCAACTTGTTGGTGATACTTGGTTCACTTAATTGTCAGGGAGCAAACTAACACACAAGAAACGAATAATCGCTCAAAAGCTTAATCATCGGGAGCTCATAAACACATCCCAATTATATCTAATAAATAAATATTTGCAAGCAATCAAAAGCAAACAAAACAATAAAAACGGAAATCTTAGTAGCTCAATTGGTCGAGGTAAACCTGAACTTTCACCTTGTTGGTGAGGATTCCATTCCCAATTCCCCACCTTATAATCCCCTCCGCATTTTCCCTTCCCCTACCCCCAACTAAAAGAACATCAGAAGAATAAAATGGATCAGTTGATTGACATAAGACACAAAGGGTGTCCACAAAATTCATTAATAACCTAAAATACTGACCCATAAAGCTTAATTCCCATATACATACATACCTTGGATGTAACAAGATGACAGCCTCGCCTTTGAGGAGGAAGAGTCACAGTTTTTTGAGCCCATTTTGGGGAAGCCATTGAATCAGAAGGGTTATTAATTGTTGTTCTCAAAGGAGTATACTGACACTTTAACCTGATCGGAGCCGAAAATGGCTTTGCAATTCCACCGAACGATACTAAAGAGGAAGACGAAAGAGAAAGCATTTGCTGCTGTTTCAAGAACAATTTTTTTACTAGTTGTTTTGGAGGACTTTGGACCAAAAGTAATAGTACTAGTGAATTATGGGCTTCAAAAAAAAAACTTAGCAAAGTTTAAAATGAGGCCTATAAAAGAGTTTGTGGTGATGTTAAATGTGTATGGTCCAAATTTAGCACTCTTACCTCCACTAAAATGTTGAGAGTGAAATGAATGTCCAAATCAAACTTACGCGTATCTTAATTGATTCATCAAAATACTATGTTGTTTTCTATTAGATATAATATGATATTTAACTCGCTTTATTGATTATTAAATCGCGCACTTATTTTCTTATGAAGAAAGCTTAGTATCATTAATTTGTGATTTTCTTATACGAAGACAAATCTAGCTACTTTGATGACAATGAGAACACATTTAATCTCAATTATTAGCAAAAAGTAAATTTATACCATTTCACATAGAGGCAACTAGCTAGTTTTGTTATTTAGGAGCAAAGGTCCTTTGTGATTAGGAATATGTTTTGAAGTAATTCCTTTAATATATATATCTCTGACCAATTTAATTTTTAAAATTAATCAAAGTAAGTATTTTTTTAGATTTATCAAATATTTAATAAATTTTGTCTTGTTAGATTTGATGAGAGATTTGAAGATGCTATTATTGCATTTTTTTGCTACTTCATGTCTATATAGGGGGAGACTTGTGCAATTTTTGAGGTGCAAATTTCACAATTTGGATGCCTAATTCAATTTTTAGGATACGACGAGACTTTTCTATAATTCTGATTAAATCATTATTTTCTATGTTTCCCTCAAATCTAACTGATACGATCAATCAAAATATTCGATGAAAATAAAAGTAAGAAACTCACTTTTAATAAACTTAAAGGATTAAAATTACTTAAAAATATATTTAGGGGACTATTTTGAACCTATACCAAACAATAAGGACCATTTTCATCATTTTCTCTTTAACTTGGTCGTATCGCCAACCTTTAATCCCTCATATATAAGCCGTATTTTCAGAGCGAGAAACACAAACAGAGTGAGTGAGTGTGTGTAGTAGGTGAAAAAATCACAAATGGATGCAGATTACGGCATAGCTAGAGAACTCTCTGATCTGCAAAAGCTTCGATCTCAGTATCAACCTGAGCTTCCTCCTTGTCTTCAGGTTTCTCTTCATTTTTTTTTTTGCATTTTTTTGAAATTTTTTATGTATTTTTTCGTTGTTATTGCTCTACTATGAACTGTGATTCGTTAGATAAGTTGTTGTTGTTGTTGATTCGATGGAGAAGATGATTATGTTTAGCATTTGGAAAAATCGGAAAATAATTACCGGCGAAATGTATGTATTGTAGATTGTTTCGGTATACTAACGTCCATAACAATAGAATAGATCTGACGTTGTAGATCAGATTTGTTCTTATGCTATCTGTATAGGTACAGTTTTTTGGTGTAAGGTGTCTCTTGTTGTATTAGAATTATGTCATTCATAGCGGTCGCGATTTTCTGTTTGATTTTGTAGGCGTTGTGTTTATATATGATTTATTAGTATGATGATGATGTGAAATGAGTTTGAGTGAAGAAGTTAGGATTCATATAGAGGAACTCAACTTGTTTGGGACTGAGGTGTAGTTTGTTCTTGTGTTTACATGCGAATAATCAAATTTAAAAGTAAGGTGATGGAGTAGTTTTGAGAAGAAAAAGAAGAGAGAATGTTAAGTGGAGAAAGGTAGAAGGTGGGTTCATTATTTACCGAGTCTCAAACCATGGACCATTTGCCATCAGGGATTAAAAAAAGGAAAAGTGAAAATACATTCTACTTACCTGTCAAGTGTTTCCAGGAAGAGATGCTGATTGTCTCTTGTTTAATGGATACCAAAGGGGGACTTTGTATATGGAGTCTATCCTTGCAGAACATGTGTATAATGCACTTTTTTTTTGTGTAAATCAAGGATGATTTTGTATGGACTTTTTTTCACGCATGCTATAATGTATTTTGAAGTCTTTTTGTTCATTCATCTGATTATTCTGTTTGATGTGTATTCAATTTGATTAATTATCAACTTCCACTGGATTGGTAATGAAATGTGCTGCCAATTCTTTGTATCTATAATATTGATATCCACTAAAAAGCTGCTCTTGATAACTGCTCAGAGAGCTCAATCCTACTTACTCTTATAAGGATGAAAGATTTTTCTGTCTGCAATCCCGAGTTCATTAAATCTGGTTAAACTACAACAGGGTACTACTGTGCGGGTTGAGCTAGGTGATGCAACCACTGCAGCAGATCACTCTGGTGAACATGTAATAAGTCGGTCTTTTCCTCACACTTATGGTCAGCCATTGGCCCATTTTCTCAGGGCAACTGCCAAAGTCGCTGATGCTCAGATAATTACCGAGCATCCAGCGAAGAGGTATGCATTAATAATCTTTAGTTTACTTCATCAAAGAAAAAATCTACAGTTAGTAATCAATGACATCGGGGTTGAAATCATGAGCTGTTTGCTCCAAGTCTATGTTGGAAGTAGGCATACGGTAGTTCTTTTGTTTAGGTGACTAAAAGTTCCTTCGTTTTAGTTACCCATAAAAAAAGAAAAAAAAGAAACACATCCTTCCTTTTAGTTGTTTTTGGAATTCCATTTGCATTTACTGTCTTTAGAATCTTACTGAGGGGACTAAAAGTCTAAAACTAACAGTTCCTATCAAAACTGATGTGTTTATTTATGTATAGACATAAGGATAAAAGTTCACTGAGACATGAATTTCTGTGAAATGAGCTTTATTCATTTTTAAGAGAAATAAACTTGTTTTATTACTTTATCAACAACAACAAAAAAAGAGCATCATAAACATCTCTGGTATACTAATGTTTTCATTGTACTCACTCTTTTTCCTTTATAGGGTTGGAATTGTTTTCTGCGGGAGACAATCTCCTGGTGGACATAATGTGATATGGGGTATTCATGACGCCCTTAAAATTCACAATCCTAACAGTACTTTGCTTGGTTTTCTGGGTAAGTAGTCTTTTTGTGTTGGTGTTCTATGTTCTGTGATGCGTCTGCACGTGTACTCTCCTACAAATCTGCTAGACTTTGAGATTGTTTCTCATACTCTCCTGGTTGAAATGTCCTGGCCATCTATTCTTGGGACATCAGGGCAGTAAACCCTTAGAAAGACCTGCTACACCATTTGAGTGTCACTTACATATCATGTCTACGATGCTTTGTGTCATAATTTTTTCTGCTGAATCTCTCCTTTTCAAATGTCAACAGGTGGTTCTGAAGGTTTATTTGCACAGAAAACCCTAGAGATCACCAATGATATTCTTGCCACCTATAAGAATCAAGGTAGAATCTGGTTTGGAATGAAGTCAGTAGAATTCCTTTTTGCCTTAAGCTTATCATTAATTGATTTTTCCCCATTAAGGTGGTTATGACATGCTGGGTCGGACAAAAGATCAAATTAGAACAACCGAGCAAGTTAATGCCGCAATGGCTGCCTGCAAAGCTTTGAAATTGGATGCCCTTATCATTATTGGAGGTATTTATCATGCAGTTTTTTGGTTCATTATGGATCTTCTGTGCATACACACAGAGATATACATCCTAACATATGCATTATATTTTGAAGGGGTAACATCAAACACTGATGCTGCTCAACTGGCCGAAACATTTGCCGAAGCAAAATGCCAAACAAAAGTATGCATGGGTTGAGGCTATTCTCTTCATCTAATTTACTGTTATACTTCTGACTTTTCATGAATTGAAGTGCATAACCTAATTTTTTCTCCAAATGTTTTTGCACTATTCCAACTTTAACCTATGCATTCTCTTCCATTTTATCCTCTCATTATGGAAGGTTCATACTTTCTGATTGTTCTTTTCTCCAGGTGGTTGGAGTTCCTGTTACATTAAATGGAGATCTAAAGAATCAGTTTGTTGAAACAAATGTCGGTTTTGACACAATATGCAAGGTATTAGTCCAATTATGTCAATCATATGAAAGGAAACATTCATCTAAGGACTGTTTTTTTAGAATACACACAGTTAACATCTTACACCTTTCCCTTTAAGAGGCATTGCCATTTAGACTTGTGGTCATGCTCCCCACTTAAACTTTGAGGGTCTTGTATATGGTGGTGTGCAGGTTAAGTGTTCTTTTTACTTGTTATTTTATAAGTGATGGATTATGAGGTGAAATACATTCAGCAGGTACCGAGTGTTAAATTTGTAGGTCATTTTGACGATTTCTGCATGAGCAAGAGACCTTGTTTTTTTTCTAGTAATGATGCTATATTGTGTGCTTCAACTGAAAGAAAATCCTAATAAATTATATAAAAAATCCCTGGGGAACTTATTATTATCTTTGTGGTCATCTTAGGTTAACTCCCAACTCATTAGCAATATGTGCACTGATGCGCTCTCGGCAGAAAAGGTAATTTCATGTTCTTCACATCTCTTCCAATTTCTATGGAATATTTGGGTAAATTTTAAATATATGTTTCTGGTGGGTTTCATTTCTGTTATATAAATTTGTTTTGATGGTGTTGACTGTCTGTTGATTATGTTCACAACCTTATCTTTTATATTTCCTACCTATGTCTTCTGCAAATGCTTTACTATAACCTGGTAATCTTTCCTTTTCAGTACTACTATTTCATCCGACTCATGGGGCGAAAGGCATCACATGTTGCCTTAGAATGCACTCTGCAGTCACATCCTAATATGGTTCGTTTTACAGCTTCACTGAAAAACTAATGAAGTAATTGTGCTGTTTAGAACTTGCAAGTGTTCTGTATTAAAAAGTGTTAATAAATAATCTTGCAGGTAATTCTTGGTGAGGAGGTAGCTGCATCAAAGCTTACTCTTTTTGACATCACAAACAAAATTTGTGATACAGTTCAAGCTAGGGCTGAACAAGGTATGGAACTTTACCTTTTCTTTGTTGTCTTTTGTGGTGCTTTTCAAAAGAAATTGACTGCTTACTAAGTTTTTGGATTTAGATAAAAACCATGGTGTGATCCTGTTGCCAGAGGGGCTTATTGAAAGTATTCCTGAAGTATATGCTCTACTGCAGGTAAAATC